CACGGTCTTGTTGCCAGCAGCGAGAGATTCCTTGATAGACTTGCCGAGTTCTTCTTTGACATGTACCTTCCATTCTTCGATGAGAGGCAGGAGCTCAGCTTTGCACAGCTCTCGCATATAGTCATCTCCATCCCACTCATCACCTTCACCGATATTGACATCTCCAGTTGCATGTGTGCGCCGTTTAGCAGGAGGAGGACCAGCCAGACGAGGAGAAGTAACATTAGTCGCACCACCTTTGCCCCCCTTGCCAGAGCTGACCATTCGTTCTTGTGAGGGGAACATGGGGGCCGCCTCCAATTCATCTGCCAAGCGTTGATTGTCAGCTTCTGTCGGTAATCCCATGAGAGAATGGGCAGTGCGATCGGACAGCCAGGAACGGGAAACGCCTCCGTTTACCCGACCGCCCAAGCGCGGATCGATGCAAAACACTGCCAGACCACAAGGGTCTTGCCGGCCGCGGACTAGCGGTATCCACTTGGTCCCTGGTGAACATTGGACCTTGAGCCAAAATGGCTACGGAGGAGGAGGAGGGAGGAGGAGGAGGAGGAGGCCAAGAGCAGCCACCCCGCGCCGCGGCCTCCGCGGGCCGCCGGCGCGGCACGCCACACGCTCCAAGCGAGGGTGTTCGCGCGCGGCCCCTGCGCGGGCAGGGGCAGCCCGCGCGCGAAGGGCCGCGCAAAGGATCCCGCGGGCCTCCGTCGCCCGGGTGCCGGGAGCTCCTCCCTCCCTCCCACCCTCCCTCCCCTCCCCTCCCTCCCTCCCCTCCCCTCCCCTCCCTCCCCTCCCCCCTCCCTCCCTCTCCCTCCCTCCCTCCCGGCCCCGCCCGAACTCCTCGCGGGGCCGCCGAGGCCCCCTGGCACCCTTGACTACCTACCAGACCACCCCAACCCGACCCGAAGACCTGAATTTTTGGGTTAGGGGGGGGGGGGGGAGGGCTCCACACGTGTTTTTGTCGATGTTTCCCGACCCCCCCCCCACTGGAAATCGAGGGTAGATCTGAGCCTTCGGGTTGGGTTGGGGTGGTTTGGTGGGTGGTGCACCCCTGCCGCGCCTCCTCCGGACCACTGGCTGCCTGTGCACCGATGGGGCCACGGGCGGGCTCCCCCGCGGCGCGCGCGCGACTCCGGCGGTCGCCCTCCGCCTCGCTCCGCCTCGCTCCGCCTCGCTCCGCCTCGCTCCGCCGGGCCCGGGGGCCGTCGAGCACTCGTCGCGTCTTCGGGAGGGGTGCACCAGTCGCCGAGCCCACCGGAGCTCCGAGGCCTGTGCTTTTGCTGCGCAGAGGGCGGGCCTCCGCGGGGGCCCGCGCGCCCCGCATCTCCATGGGCCTCTCGGGACCCCCCGGGCGCCCACGGGCGCGGGCCGAGGCTCGCCACCGCGAGGCAGGCAGGCAGTCAGACAGACAGACCGACCGACCGACAGACAGGCAGGCAGGCAGGCAGACAGACAGACAGACAGAGACAGAGAGACAGACAGACAGAGAGACAGAGAATAGCTCTGGAGTGGACAGCGGGGGGGGAATGAAGCGGAGCGCTTCGCGAAACATGCAAGCATGAGCATGCGCGTCTGCAGATTGAGGGCCATAGCATGAGCAAGCGAGAGGGTGTGGGCATGCGCATGAGCATGAGCAAGCGAGAGCAAGCGAGTGAGCGGGCCATAGCAAGCGAGCACGAGCATGAGCAAGCGAGAGAACGAGCAGGAGTATGAGCATGAACGCGCGAGGGTGGGCCATATCAGAATAGAGAACCCCGCTAGGCGCACGAGGCCCTGTACATTGTCATTGGACAGGCCAGTAGTGTAGTTGTGCGGAACTGCTGTGGGGGTATATTTTCAGGTCTCTTCAGGCACCGTAAGATCATTGTAATCGCAACACGTTGTGGAAACCTGAAAATGCCACTGTGGTGCATTACTTGATACATTTGGAGCACCTCGGCGCTTTCAGGTCGACTTGAACATTTCAGGTTGGACCTGCAATTTTCTTCCGGGGCGCTTCATCCATTGCTTTTTGCATACGGATGGTACGTTTAGGTCGACATGACATTTTTCATGCCAGAATTAGTACCACGCGGTGTAGAAACCTGAAAACGTCACCGGGCTGAAATGATTCATACACGGGTAGCGCCTGGACATTTTCAGGTCGACCTGAACGTGTTCAGGTCAAACCTGAAAGTCAAGCATAATATATTGGTTTTTATTACAATGAAGGCTTGCTCTGGTCGACCTGAACATTTTGAGATTCAGTCTGCGCACTCATCGGAAACCGTCACCAGACGATGAACATCCATGCACGGGGGGCGTATGAACAATTTCAGCCCCCCCCTGAAAATCTTTGGGCTGGACCGCAAAGCCGTGCTCCGGGGTCGTGCATCACTTGTTTTGCATTCGGAAAGCCCGCTGGGGTCGACCTGGACCTCCCTTCGGCCGACGAGGAAATCAGAGGCGCGAGACACGTGAAACAGATTTCCCGCGGGCGACGATGAGCTCGAGGGGCGACTTTCTT